CCTTGAGTGCCAGCCTGTCCCTGTGTTCCATGTCCATAAGCCACTGGGTCCTGTAATCCAGCTGGGCAGTGACTGCCCCTCTAAAGCCAGGATCCCACAGGTGAGCCCACTACACAGGTCTCTGTACTCCTCCCTCCTCTAGCCCTTTCCAGTCCCAAGAGACTGACCTGACCCTGACCTCTAACACCTAGGCTGGAGCCACAGCCCTGGGTCCCCTTGACCCAAGCTAGGTTTAAACAAGCAGGTTTCCATTTGCTGTCTGAGGTCGTGGCTCACCTGGGCTAGGCTGGGGCCCCGTGCCTGTCCTGGGAGGGGTGAGGGCCTCACCCTGAGCCAGCTCTCCCCTGCCAGGGTCTAGTGGGGAGAACATTCCAGGCCAGGCATCTGAGAAAAGGGAGACCTGTTGACTGAGATCCTGACAGGTGGTTAACATGCAAATACAGTGGGGATAATTGCGAGTTTCTCAAGTTCCGTCTCTGCCCACCACACTGCTCCTCCAGTGCACTGTGGGGTCCCCTACCTTTCAGTCCTCACTGCACAGCCAGGCTAACCCCTCCCCGCCGCTGGCCTGTCCTCCCACCCTAGGGCCTTTGCACTTGCTGTTCCCTGACCCTGGAACGCTGACCTAGCTGACTCCTCCCACTTCCTCTCAGCCCCTCCCCTCAGTCTCTCCAGTGTCTGCAGCCACAATGCGGTCCTCAAGCTGTTACCTTGTGTTTCCTCCAGTGGAACCCGGAGAAGCGCTTGGCCCCAAGTTCCTAACACTGGCCTGTCTCAGAGGAAGGAACCAGATCTTGATTTTCATCTCTCAGCCCCGGGGTCAGGCCCCTGCTGTTCCCCTCCAGGCTTGGGCCTCCACCTACCCCTTTTGCCTCCAGATTTGGCTTCCCTTCCCCGCTTACTGCCAACCCTCCATCTCCGTGGCAGTTCCCCTGCCAGCCTGTAAGTCCCCCCACTCCCACAGAGCAGAAGTCATTCTCATCCTCACTCAGAAGCTCTGGCTGAGAAAAGCCAGGCCCTGGCCTTGGCCCTGGGTGAACAAGCAGGGATGCCCCCACCCTAGAAAGCCCCATGTACAGGACCATGGACAAAGATGCAGTCAAAAGTCATTCCTGACAATGCAAAGTGCTGTGGGAACAAGTCAACTGGGCTGTATGATAGACTGACTCCAGGCAGGAGCTGCCTGGGGCCCAGTGGTTAGGAAGGTCACACCCTCCAGCGAAAGGGGAGGCAGTATTGTCATGCCCCCTTCACAGATGAGTGGTCTCAGCCCTGTTGCTGGGCCCCCCTCTAGGATAGGTGAAAACTTGAAGCCTGGAACCCCAAGAGCCTGGAGCAAACCCTTCCTGCAGGCCACCTCCCAACCCAGGCCCACTTGGCTGCTTCTATCCAGCCAGGGCTATAAAGGCTCTGAGCCACAGGCTGGGCCACACACGAAGCACCTGCTGTGTCCCTGTGTCTCCTGTGTTTTGCCTTTCTGCCTTGGCCTGTGTCTTTCTCTCCACTGCCTTCCCTCTGCCAGCCTCTGTTCCCGGATTTGTCTGTCTGTGACACTTTGCACCTGTCTCCTCTGTCTGGCCCCTCCTCTTGCTTTGAAGTGCCCTCACATTCTTCTTCCTGCGTCTCTGTCCTCTTAGTTGTGTGTCTCTGAGAGTTGGGGGTGTGGTAATCAGGGGTGTGGTCCTGTGGGCATGGTTTGTGGGGGGTTCTTCCCAGACACGGCCTCCAAGATGCCCTCAGACCTTCCACTTGGTGGTGCCTTTCCAGTCTTGCCCAACCTGGGACTTCTGTGCTTGCTTCAGCAGTCAGCAGCACCGGAATGAGGCTCCACCCCTGCCTGCCCTGTGCCCTTCCGGCCCCACCCCCACCCCGTACCACACACACACACTCCCAGTCCTTGTATTGGCCTCCTGCGTGGGAGCAGGGGGCCCATGGTGAGGAGGGATAGGTGTGAAGTCAGGGTCGCAGTTTCCTCAACAGAGCACAGTGCGTGCCTGGTCAGCTGTTCAGAACAGATACAAGAACACAGACAATGCAGACACCCCATGAGGGTTGGCCCGTGCAGGGAGGTGGCCCCCCTCAACACCCGCCCCCACCCCTGCTGGACCCAAGCATCCAGAGCCTTCCTGTAGGGTGGGAAACCCCAGAAACCCCTGTGCAAGCAAGTTTTACAGCCTTTTCATTTCCTGTTGAACACCTGTGTGAGTGCAGCCGGACTTTCCAGACCAAAGGAAGCAATGCTGCTGCCCGCTGGCCTTCCTGGGTTCCTGGCCTCCCTGCCTCGCCAGCATGAACTGCCTAGAGGCCCAGCACGGGGGACATCGTCACCCTGCTTTTTCCCATGAGGTCATCCAGGCTTATCTCCCCTTGGTTCTGCTGTGCTAGTAGAGCATCTAGGTGCTAGGACTGGGTGTGCTGGAGACATGGCTCCTGCCATCCAGGGGCTCACACCACACTTCTGGGAACAGCAGGAGGGGCTGGAATTTTTCTCTTTAAAGAAATGTTTTTTAAGATTTTATTTTTAGAGAGGGGAAGGGAGGGAGAAAGAGAGGGAGAAACATCAATGTGTGGTTGCCCCTCAAGTGCCCCCTACTGGGGACCTGGCCCACAACCCAGGCATGTGCCCTGACTGGGAATCTAACTGGTGACCTTTCAGTTCTCAAGTCAGCACTCAATCCACTGAGCCACACCAGCCAGGGCTGGAGTTTTTCTGAGACCTCCAAGGGCCCCAGCAGGCAGGTAGGTCCCAGTTCTCTCAGCCTGACCTAACCCACAACGTCAGCATCTAGTACGAGAGGGTGTACTGGGCTCAATTGTGTCCCCCCCTAAAAAAATATGTTGAAGTCCTAGCCACCAGTGCCTGCAAGGAGTGTGTCCTTATCTGAGAAAAGGGCCTTTGCAGATATCATTAAGGCGTGGATCTTGAAATGAGATCGTCCTGGAGGAGGGCACGTGTTCTCGTAAATGACACAGACACAGGGAGGCCATGTGAACACGAGGCAAAGGTTGGAGTGATGGGTCTCCAAGCCAAGGACTCTGAGGGTCACAGTGCCACACACAGCTGGGAGAGGCAGTAAGGATCCTGCCGACACTTTGTTTTGCGGGTTCTGGCCTCCGGAACTGTGAGGGAATAATTTTCTCTTGCTTTAAGCATCTTGGTTTGTGGTACTTTATTATGACAGCCCTAGCAAACAATGCAGTGGGTGAGCTCCCCATTTCAGGAAGCATGCAAGCAGAGGGTAAATGGGTAGGGGCATTGTAAGGGAGGGGGGCAGTCCTAGGGACTCATGGCATCCATCCAGCCATCCCATCCATCCATAATTCAAAATAAACAGAGAAAACAGTCATGACACAGCACCTGTTGCTGAGGCACTTCCATCCACCCATGCAGGGTAGGACCTCCTCTAATCCTCACCGGCTCCTCGCAGGACAGCTTAACCCTGAAGATGCTCAGGCCCCGAGAGGGCAAGTCCTTGCCCAGAGTCACACACTGCTGTGTGGCGTTGCTGGGAGAGCTCAGGTATCCTGCTCCCGTCTCCAGCCCCACCCCTCTCAGGGGGTCTTCATGTCCACCAGGTTTGTGGCTTTAAACAGAGAATGGTGCCGTAACAGCATATACACTCCGGCCCCTACCGTCAGGCAAAGGAAGACTGGAGGGCAGGTTGGCACCCTTCCTCCACTCCCCTCTGATTCGAGAGGACCAGGACAGGCAGGGCCCTCAGCATTGGAGGGTGCCTAGGTGCCTGCCCAGGGACCCCCGGGCAGGCCCTCCCCAGGATGGCCTTCAAACCCCATTCAAAACTTTGCAAGATCTGTCTCCAAACTCTCTCCTTCCCGGGATAACAAAGGCACCCTCCCAGCACCTCTCTTCCCAGCCAGCAGCATGAGTGGGTGGGACGCAGGTGGGCTCCCAGGGCCTCCTTAAATAAAGCTTCCCAGGGTGCACTGCTCCTTAACGTTTCCAAGGCATTTTCACCCCCCCATCTCAGACATGTTAGCTTGAATTTTTGTTGAAAAATACACACGGAAGCCCAAACACACAGGGTGGGCCAAAAGTAGGTTTACAGCTGTTAGTATGGAAAATAATACAATAATTAATAAGTAATAAAACAAAAAGAAACTGTGTTTCAAATACTCACTCCTCTAAATCCACTTTTGCCCGACCCTGACAAAGCCTGAAGACGCTCACTCCCCAACTCCCCAAGTCTCCCCGGGACTTCCCCGCACCGGCAGTTTGAGGCAGACACTGCCGTTCCCCTGACCTTGATCATCTTAGGTAAAAAATGAAACCAACTTCATGTCCACCGATGGGACAGGAGCACTGTGCTGCGGCATGTGATGTGTGAGCCCCACCCCAGGCACCGGGTCACCAGGTCCAGAGAGCGAAAACATACAGGTGTAATCAGAGAGGCAAGCTAAAGAATCCTCAGCAGCCCTGGCTGGTGGGGCTCAGTGGATTGAGTGCCAACGTGCATGCGAACCAAAGGGTTGCTGATTGATTCCCAGGCAGGGTTCAGGCCTGGGCTCATGCCCAGGTCCCCAGTAGGGGGCGTGCAAGAGGCAACCACACATCGAAGTTTCCCTCTCCCTTTGCCTCTCTGAAGATAAATGAACAAAATCTTAAACAAAAAAAGAATACTCAGGAAAAACCCTTTTACAGAAGGTTCCAGAATGTTACATAGGCAGGATCTGTTTGCAGCTCCATCTACAGGTGCATAGCCTGGGGTGGGGTCCCTCTGGGTGGGAGTGAGAGGAAAACAGAATAGGGTGACAATTAGGGTGGCAGTGAGAGGAGGTCTGGAGCGAGGGGTGGGTGGGCTTCATCTGCCCTGGGCTGGGGAGAAGGGGACAGTCTGTGGGGACCAGAAGGGAGGGGAGGAGGAAGCGGCAGCTGGGCACTTCCCAAGGAGGAAGCGATGCTGGATTTTCCCCAGGTGTGGCCAGAAGTATAAAGGTGCTGACAGCCAGCTGGCCAGGCCTGCCACTGGTGCACCCCAGAACCACAGCCAAGTATACCTGGGACTGCTGCCAGGCACACACCAGCCAGCCACTCTGAGCCCAGCCACTGAAATGGTGAGCCGCCTCTCCCCACGCCCCCATCTGGACAGTGCCATCTGGCCCAGAAGGATTGACAGTTCCCTGAGCTCTGAGCTGATGATGTTGGGATGGGGTCCAGGAAGTCCCTTCAAATCTTGGGGCAAGAGGGAACCAGAACACAGGAACTCTGGTTCACTGAGGAGCTTGGGCCAAGGGGCTAGCCCCTCTGGGCCTCAGGTTCCCCAACTGTAAGAGCAGGCCATTTCCCATCTTTACATAGGGAACAGGGCAAGCTGGGGTGGCAGCAAGGTGCCCCCTTCCCTGGGCATGCCCTGACCACCCACTTCCTGTTCCACCAGCTCCTCCCCAGCCTTCTGCTTCTGCTCTGGCTGTCTGCCAGCCTGGCTGTCCATAGCCCCCCACTCTGGGGAGGCCACACCCATGGGACCCCACGCTGCTACTCAGCCGAGGAGCTGCCCCTGGGCCGGGCCCCTGCACACCTGCTGGCCCGAGCTGCCAAGTGGGAGCAGACTTTGCCGGTAGCCCTGGTGTCCAGCCTGGAGGCAGTGGGCCGCAGGAAGCGGCACAAGGGGCCCCCAGCTGGAACCCGGTGCCCGGTGCTGCAGCCTGAGGAGGCACTGGAAGCCGACATCCACCAGCGCTCCATCTCTCCCTGGAGATACCGGTGAGGACTGTGGGGCTCCCTGGGCACTGGGATCCTCCTGTGTGGCACTGGGCTGCTCCCTCCCTTCTCTGGGCACTGGATTCCTAAAGAGCTCTCCGAGCCTCGGTGTTTTCACTACTTAAATGGGATAAGCATCCTGACCTCGTCCAGCCAGGCCCCTGTCCTGGGGGGTGGGGGGGTCCCATCAAGTGAGCTCCTCCTTGCCACTGTTGTCTTGAGATCTCAGCCCAGACCTTGGGTACCAAGGTCTCCTGGGAAAATTCTGGGACCCCCACTTGAGCCCTTGCAGGCGATGGGCTGGACCAAAAGGGAGGTAGGGGGTGGCTCGTGAAAGCCACCTACCCTAGCTTCTGTGCTCTGAGAGGGCACTGGAGTCATGGGAAATCATCACTTATTGAGCACTGACTGCATGCCTGCCCTCTGGGCTCCCTGCAGCCTGATGCCTCAGCTCTCAGGCCAGGAGCGCCCCAGAGCACACAGGGCAGCCACGGGGTGCAGTCAGGGAAGGAGGGACACGCCTGCTGAGGCTCTCCGCAGTGCCTCACCACTCTTCTCCTGCAGTGTGGACACGGATGAGAACCGCTACCCGCAGAAGCTGGCCTTCGCCGAGTGCCTGTGCAGGGGCTGCATCAGCACCAGGACCGGCCGTGAGACAGCAGCGCTCAACTCTGTCCCGCTGTACCAGAGCCTGCTGGTGCTGCGCAGACAGCCCTGCTCCCAGGATGCAACAGGGGTGCCCACGCCCGGAGCCTTTGAATTCCATGTCGAGTCCATCCAAGTGCCCATTGGCTGCACCTGCGTCCTACCCAGGGTGGTACTGTGACCGCTTGCCTCAGCTGTCCCCACAGCTGTGCTGTGGGCAGGGATGGCCTCCCAGACTGGACAGTGGGGCTCTCTCTGCAGAGAGGGCCCCTCCTATTTATTTTGTGTATTTATTGGTTATTTATATGCCCTGGGTGACCCCACTGCCCCTACCCAGGGCCCCCGGGCAGGCACCAGGGCTCCAGGCCTCTAGTCTGAGGAAGGACAGTGGAGACTGGGCGCTCCAGGGGAGGGCCGGGTAACCCTGCCCTGGTCAGCCCCTCTCGATGCTCAGTCACCCTTTCATACAAACAGTGGGCTAGAAGGAACCTCATTATTCTCTAGAACTTTTTAAAATAAAAACAGGAAAGGGGTTCCGATGGCCCCACGTGGTGGTCCCACTGGGATCCCCCACACTCCCTCTTTCCACCTCCCCTGTATTTCTAAAACAATTATTTATTGTAAATGCAAATGTGTGTCATTAAATTGATAAACACCCCAAGGGCACAGCATCAGATGTCCCAGGTAGATACAGGGGTGAAGATAACCCCCTCACCCTCACCCCTGCCGGGCCCTCACTCCCAGCTGGCCTTGCAGGAGCTGCTGCAGGCCCACATTCACCAGAAAGGCCTGTGCGTGAACCCCAAGTACATGCAGGGTGGGGGAGCCCAGATGTGCCCTGCTGGCTGCTGTGGTTTTCGCCTGGTGACGCCTCCTGGTGATGGCACTGGGGCCCCAGGATGGGCCGCGTCCCCACAGCCCGGCTGTGATGAAGAGAGGCCTTCCTCTACCCACTGGCCCAGGGTGTGGCCAGACCTACGCTGTGACAGTGAGCACCCTCTCCATCCTTGGGAAATACCTCTGCGACCCCAGGGACAGGCATCTCTGAGGGTAACTCCCAGGGGGCACCAGCTCAGGGGGCACCTGTGCAGCCTGGGTGAGTGCCGTCACCTTCAGCTGTCTGAGCCTTGCCCCCCCAGCCCAGCAGAGGCCCAGGAGCTCCAAAGGCCATCCCCCAGCCCCAACGTCCCCTTGGGCTTCTGTCCACCACAGGTGACCTGCTAGTCCAGGGGTAACCAAGCTGGCCAGCGTCCCCAGGCCAGATGCCCCACTGGCCAACCGATGGCCCGGCCTGTGCTCTCACTGCAGAAGTCCTGAACCTGCATTTTCCGGCATGGGGTTGTCGGAGGCATTTCATTAAGGGGCCCAGGAGTGCGTGGCCTCAGCGGTTGTAGAAGGGGCCCTGGGGCAGTTCTGGCTCAGCCACGACCCCCGAACAGGACCAGCCAAATCTGAGGGTTGACAGGGCACTATGGGGTTTGCTGGGCCCTTATCAGCACCCGCCTGCCTGACCAGTAGTTCTCACCCACTGCGTAATGCCTACTGTGTGCAAGTACCAGGAAGGGGGATGGGTGACCTTGGTCTTGAGCCTGGAAGGACCAGGGGATCCGCACATATTTGCTGAGTGTCTGTGTGCCTGGTGCTGGGAATAGAGACGTGGACAAAATGGACAGACCTCTGCTGCCCACATGTGGGGTGACAATGACCACCACAGGACAAGTAACACGGTGCTCCGTTAGGGCTGGTGAAGGAATTAAGGACAGTGATGCAGTAGGCAGAGGGGCTGCAATTTCAAACAGAGGCCACACGGCCATGGAGGCCACTTGAGCCAAGGCCTGGATGGCCAGCCAGGGACCTATGTTCCTGGCGGAGGGAACAGCCCATGCAAGGGCCCTGAGAAGGCAGCGTGCCTGTGTCTGAGGGTTGGGGTGGCCCATTGGCTGGAGCCGAGGGAGCAGAGGGTAACTGTGGGGCGAGGGTGCACAGAGTGTCGTCCTGGACTGTGGGGGTCTGTGGGTCTGAGTGGGTGCCAGGTGGGTCAACCACGGTGCTGGAAATGGCCTGCAGGAGGCAGGGCAGAGCAGGGGCCAGCAGTTTTATTGTCCTTCTGGGAGGCCGCAGTGGCCGTTTCCTGGGCCCAGGCTGCTGGTACTGAGTTGGCCCTGGAGCATTAGAGGGCCCCAGATACTTGGAATTCCAGGTCTGAGAGCAGGATTTGCTGAGAGCTGGTGGGGCAAACGAGAGGCAAGGGATTTAGGGACTTTTCCAGACCTTGAGAGAGCAGGTGGTTGGGGAGAGCCCACCAAGGAGTCTTCCCAGGCTGGGATGTGAGCTGAAGCCAGGCAAAGCTTGGGGGCCATTGGGCTCCCCACTAGGGAGCAAAAGACAGTACCTAGGAAGGCCATGTCTGGCCCCCTCCTGGAGAGAGAGGAGAGGAGAGAGAAAGAGCGAGAGATGTTTGGTGTGTGTGTTTGCAGCCTGAGGACTGGAGAGGCAAGGGCAGGCCCGGCGCCCCCACAGCTGGCCTGGCCGACACCAAGGTGAAGGCCCGCGGGGCTCCCCCGGGGCCTCCCCTCGCTCACCTGCACTCCCGCTGCACTCAGCTGCTGGGGTGGGACCAGGGGGCTCCACAAGGTGAGTCTGGCAGGTCCAGGAAAGCTCTCGGGCGGGGGGGCACACATTCCCTCCTCCCAGGCCTGGGGACTTCATTTCTAGAGTAGAAACTCAAATACTTGGAATTCCAGAGACTTTATTTCATGGAATAGAAAAAGCGCCGTGATTTCAGGTGCCATGGAGAAAGATGACAGGCTTCTGGGAATGACAGCAGAAGAGGGCCTATGGTTCTGCCAGGCAGGTTAGGGGCTGCTCTTGGGGTCTGGATGGTGCCCCCCCAAAAGCTACACAAGACAGCGGCCATTCAGGGAGCAGTCGGCGGCACTGGTCACACGACCTCATCGGTCACTGGCACAGGGTTTTCATGGGGGCCGCTGGGGCCCCTTGCTGCTGCTGCCTCCTCTTCCTGCTCACTGGGCTTCTTTCGGGCCTCAGCTGGGGGCCGGGGTGGGGGGTTGCTAGGTGGTTGCTTGATGGTGCCCCCGACCTGTGGCCGTTCCTTGGGCTTGGGCTCAATGGGAATCCACTGCTCACCACGGATGGCCGCCTGCCCGAAACAGAGGGGCTGGGCTCTGGGGGCCTCCAGGGCCCACGCCCAGCCTGGCCCCACCCCTGCACTCCCACACCCCTACCAGGGCACAGAACAGAACTCAGACTGAATCCCATTAGACCTGCAGGGGCTGTGGCTCAGAGGTTAAGAGGCTGGCCGGAGGCTCTGCCTGACCCCAAACTGGGGTTATTCCACCATGTCAAGAGGGACCCTGCCAGCAGGAGGGGCATGGACTCCTGTGTTTCTGAAAGGTTCCCTGGAAGCCACTTCCAGGTGCACGCTCCCAGAGCGCCCCCAGGAGTAGGCCAGGCAGGCCAGGCCAGCGTGGCCATCACGGTGAGTCCCGAGGCAGGCAGCACTCAGGGTGGTAGGGGCTCAGGAGAGCCGTGGAGGGCCAGCTCCCACTCGGCCTGGACCCACCCGGCCTGGAGCCTCCCCGAGGGCGCCCGGGCCTACTGGGGAGTGAAGAGCGTGCACCAGGGAACTTGCTGAAATGCAGTCACTCCCGGCCCCATCCCACGGGGACGGACACCGGCTCCTGGCCTTGGCTCGGCCTGCAGGCAGCTGCAGGGGCCAAGGCGTCAAGCATCAGCAGGGCTAACCACAGACGACACCACTCACCAGCAGATAGATGCCACTTGCTATGGCCAAGCAGGCTGTCCCCAGGATGGTGGCAAGCAGGACGCCAGCTGGTACCGACAGCCTGGGGAGGGGGTGGGTGTGGGGGGATGGGAGGCTCAGAAGAGCAGTCCGAGGGAGCTCCAGGTCTTAGGCAGAGGCCTAAGATCTTGCTACGAAACAGACCGTGAGTGTGCTGTCCCCAGGACTGTGGACGGAGGGCACACCTGGCCCTGCCAAGGCTGGGCTTTTAAGTTCGGGTCCCTGGAGCTGTCCTCCGCCTTGACTTGTACCTTAACTACATTGGAACCCTTGACCCCGGCCCCTCCCCCATGCTAGGGGGAGGCCCACGCAGCAGCAGGGGCAGGAGGATGTGCTGGCCTCTGCAGTCACCACCAGACTCGCGTGTGAGGCAGCAGGCTGCCCAGCTGCACCCCGCCCCCCCCATCATTAGGGTTTGGGGGGAATTGTTAAGCAGGAGGAGATGATGGATACAGGTTTGGGGGGGCCTCCGGCAAAACCTGGGGCCTGGGTTTTGTTTGGAAAACAGCTGGGCTGAGAGGGACCTGCCCTGCCCCTAGTGCTCCTGTGCAGTCCGCCAGGCCAGGCCCGTGGGGAGGAGCACCAGGGCCCTCCGGAGCCCAAGGGTGGGCAGGACTCACCCCAGGTGCAGGAAGGCCCGGAAGTAGTAATTCCTGGAGAGGGGCCCGAACACCTTCAGCACTTTTGTCAGGTACTTCTGTCCGCTAGGCCGAGTGAGGAGGGAGGGAAGATGGATTGGGTCCTGCCTGGCACCCCCACACCCACGCTGCCCCAAAGCACCCTGGCTGCTGTCCCCTCAAGGACCCGGAGCTTCCGAGGGACGGGCCCAGCTCCCGCAGCACCCCTGGCTGATTGTCCCACCCTTGCGGGTTCGAGCAGCCCCTGGGTTGGACTGAGGGCAGGGGGTACTGACCATCTCTCCATGGTGGAGCCCTTCTTCCTCTTCCCTCGGGGGTACTCCAGCAGGCAGACGAACACGCCTGCTACACTGAAGCTGCGGTTAAGGAACAGCCCGGCCCAGCCTGAGGGGCCGCGTGAGCCCCTCTGCTGAGAAACAGACAGATGCAAGTGCCACCTGGAGCCACACGGGGGGAATAGGCAGGCGGGATCCCACAGGTCTGGCCACTAGGCTGCCGGTCCTGCACCCTCCCTCTCCCTTGCCTGTCTTGGGTTTCAGAGGGCCCGGAACAGCCAGGCAACAGGGCAACTGATAAAAGAGGGTTCAGAGAGGATCCCTGGGGGTGTGACACCTCCTGTTCCTCGCCGGGCACAAGACCAGTCCCTTCCCTGCTGAGCCTCGGCTTCCAAAACTGCAGCTGAGCCCACTTGCTGAGTCTAAAGGGAGCAGGTGTGTGAGCAGCACTGTGAAACTGTAAAGTGCTGAGCCACGGAGGCAGTGGCATCTCCATCCCCAGGCCACCAGCACCTGGTGGTGCCACCCACCCGCTGGGTCTACCGTGGGAGGATACATGGAGTAGGCGCCGAAGTACCACAAGGTGAACTGGCCAGCAGTGGCCACGATGCCGCCTGTGATGAGGACTGTGGGCAGAAGAAAAGTGGGTTAGTAGGAGCCCCTGCCCATGGGAAAGACTTGCCTCCACCCCCTCCCCGAGGGGCTGGGATCCACAGGGGGCTCTGACCACCACCTCCCCCTGTGCACCCCCCTTCCACAGCTGGGCCAACAGACCACCACAAGCTGCCCTCCAGTCTGTCAACCCTTTTGCCCAGCAGGGGACCCAGGCGGCTGCAGGCACCTGCAGATAATGGAGGATGCCTTCCCCGAGGAAGTGGCACGTGGCAGGGGAAGGGGCTGAAGCTGGTGGAGCCGGGCCTGCATCCCTGGAGCTGGGGTGGGAGAGGCTGCCTCGCAGCCCTGGGCAGGAGGAGCCTGGACTGCAGCCTGGTCACTCACTCTTGAGCTCTCTGACCCCGTCATCCTGAGGTTTTGCATTTAAAGACCACATCGTTGACTGTGGATTTTGCGTCGGCTGTGCGGACAGCCTCTCCTCACTGCATGGTTCCTGTCTGCCCCGCTCCTGTGTCTCACCCCATTCCGGTTTGTCTGATGCTGCTACTCCTACACCCTCCTTTGGTTCGGACCTGTCAGCTCTTCCGCCCCTTTACTTCCAGCTCTGTGTGGTCCTGCTGGGTCTTTTCTCCCAAGACATATTTTTTTTATTGTGGTAAAATGGACATACAATTTTCCATTTTAGCCGTCTTACAGTGAACAGTTCAGTGGCATTAAGTACATTCACACTGTTGTGTACCCACCCCCAGAATTTCTAGCAAGTCTTGAGGTATAATTATTACATACAATAAAAGAAAGGCGTAAGCTTGATGACTTCTCACATGTGCACCCCCGTATGACCTCCACCCAAGTCAAGATTCCCACCTTCCCGGAAAGCTCTCTTG